AAAAAAAAAAACTTTATATTTGTAAAACTGATTGAGTTATAGTCAGTTTTATGATTGCAAATATATATTGGTTGTTGCAGCCATATTGCATTTGGTTGACTACAAAATAAAATCACTTATAGACAGGGGTGCACATAACTTTTTGAGTGGGCTCCTCTGGTGAGTACCAGGTGTTTGGTACTCACCCCATATGAAGCTTTGTCTTAATAAGTGCCACCTTCCTCGCTGTCCTCCTCAGTGTCACTCTCTCTATCCTCTGCTTCATCTTCCTGCATGATAGATGATGCAGATACTGCAGATGTACCTCCTTGTCCTTGGCATTTTTTTCTCTTTCATTATTTTATATAAAAAAATAATAATAATATTAAGTGAAATGTACTGTAGTTATGACACCCTTCATGAGTTTGTATTTGTATCTTATTGCATTGTTCTGTTTTATGTTGTTAGTAAAGTTCTAAGGAAAAACAACTGATTGTTGATCTGCAGGGAAGGGGCGTTTACCTTGGGACGAATTGAGGTCACCGATTGGTCAGTTGATGATATGCCTACTGGACTGATTGACAGGTTGCATCACAGATCCGACTCGTGCAAAAAAGCAAACGCTGCTGCCGTCCGCCGGCCCCGGGTGGAGGCAGGGTGGCCCAGGTGCAGCAGTAGCAATGTTCTGTGTTTATATGTTGTTAATAAAAAGTTCTTAAAAAAAAAAAAACAGGGAGCGCCGGCCCTGCATCGGCTCACACATCAGACCGGCCCACCGGGAAATCTTCAGATCATCCTGATAACTTGACAGTCAAGTACACAAAAGCGTGTGATACTGGTAACAGAGGTGATGCTGCGCATTCCTGATTTTTGTTGCGCATAGGTACCTACGTACCAGTTATGTGCACCCCTGGTTATAGGTAGGGATGCAACGATCCACTTTTTTCACTTCCGATGCCGATACAGATATCTGATGTTTAGTATCGGTCGATACCGATCAAATATCGATCTGATTGAGTAAGTTGGTAGTGTTATAGCTTGAAGTTCTAGTGCCACCCCTTGGAACCATCGCTGCGCACGTATTGCACGTATCTGTCGAATGTGTTGCCTGAGGTAGTGTGAAATGGTTCCAGATAGCTTATCCTTTCGCTCGCTCTATTTTGAAAACAATCTGTGCTGTGAGTTTGCTAGCGCGTGATGTCACAGAGCACAAAGCATAGAATTAGAGTGAATAGATCTGCCTAATCATGGATCGGTCACATTGTCACCAATACCCAATCCAGAAGTTTTTTTTCGATATCGGGACCGATACTGATAATGGTATCGGATCGGTGCATCTCTAGTTATAGGTATACTATCATCAGAAAGTCACTGAATTTAATTTTAAAAATCCATCTGCTGGTTTAGGTGATATTTTGCTAACAGCAAGGTTGACCAGATTTTCCATAATCTTTTAGCACTCAGAGTATATGTTGCTGATGACGCTCATCTACTACCAAATCACGTTTTATCTTAATATTTGTCAAATAAACTGAGTCATTTCTGTTTTTGCTCAAGTTTACAAGCTTTGGCAGCCGTTTGGAGTTGAGTTAACTTCAAAAGTTAATTAGTTTTAAATGTAGGTTCAGTGATTACTTTGTGAGAGTTTCAATTAAATTAGTTCGCTGGCTCATCAGATATTTTTGCTAATAAACACAAACACACAAGCACATGACCGTCCTCCTTTCATGGTGGCAGGCAATTAAAAGGCATCTTTATAACTTTCATCCTATGAAATTCTGTATAAAATGTTTAACTTAGAGCCATATAAACCACAGCTTGTGGGATGTGATTTCAACCTGTAATGGAGATTCAGTTCAGTTCTTTCATATAGTCATCCTTTGACCTTGCTGTGTTAAACTACCTGTAATATAACCTGTCACAACTTAAAGGTGATGATATAATCTAGGTGTCCTTCTAAAACCTTCCTGGTGATAACTTCTCCGCATCTCCAACCTTTATTTTTTTTTATTATATATTACACTGTTCACATCCATGGCCAAAGCCTCTTAATTCTGTTTTACGGCCAAAACGAAGGACTCTAATTTTCAATTTTCATGATCACTTCATTCTGTAAAAGCCTGTAAAACACATCTCATGTTTGAAGTAGGGTTCTTTATTAGGACGTTTGCTTCAGAGTAAAATATTACCAACTTGTAAGACAGCACTCTCTGTCACATGCTTCGGCAGTGGCTCGGGCTTTTGCCACGTAAAGTGAAATAGTCAAGCATCAAGCAGCCATTTGTGTGACAGGCTGGAAAAGCCTCACTCACTCTGTGAGAATGGTGTTTTTCAAGGTTGTTTTAGCAATGTCTGGTGTTGATGCTTTCACTTCTGCCAAGCCAATGACGGCTGTAGGCATCAGCTCAAGTCCAACACTCAAATTCAGCCTGGCAGAAAATAGCCTGGGCCATTTATTGCTGTTTGTGGTAATGTAACTGTTTATTAAATGGGTTACCCTCCAGATTATCAAATAGACATCAATCATTTGACTATACTGAATGCTTTATTTGTACTGAATTGTGCTCATTTTAACTGATTATGCTTTCACAAGTACAATTTCAAATGCTTTTCTGCTTCACCTTCTGAGCCGTGACTGTCAGTTCAAGTCACATCAGTAAAAAAAAAAAAAAAAGTCACATTTGATGGTCTCCCTTCCTTTTGAGAGGAAGTGCAAGAGAGTACAAAACTGTACTGCACACAGACACAACATTTATCAGTTGTAGGCAGAGTTCACAGCTGGGTTTGGGAACAAATTTCCTTTCTTGGCAGAGGTGTCAAGATGTAGGAGACACTGCTGGACGCCATTACAGAATCTGGATTTATATCTTGACTTATATGACATTTTATAGTGTCGGTTTGAACCTGAAGCTGGAAATCTAGATGTAGACATTTTCCCCATTTCTTTTATTACTTTCAGGTGGTGTGTTTTTACCATTTGTTTAAGGAAAATGACATTCTGAGAACTGTATCGCTGTTATTTTTAAACTTTAGTGGCACTTTTTCTTTTGCATTGGTATGTTTTTGAAAGGATAGCATAGATGTTTTTTAAATCAATGTCTGTGGACAAATTATATATGGTTGGTGGCTGTGGCTGAGTGGTTAGAGCAGTTGTCCGCCAATGCAAGAGTTGGGGGTTCGAATCCACCAGCAGTCACATGCTGAAGTGTCCCTGGGCAAGACACTGAACCCCTCATTGCCTCTGATGTGTGTCCAATTGGTGTATGAATGTGATAAAGCGCTGATTAGTCTCTTTAGAATGATTTGTTCAATTACCTTTGTAGAGCTCTAGTAGAGTGCTGTATGAATGGGTAAATGAGGACACAGATTGTGTTGTAAAGCACTTTGAGTATCTTGAAACAAGATAGAAAGGCACTATAGAAGTACAGTCCATTTACCATGAATCCAGTGCAGCAGGAACCCTATTACAAATGTTATGTATTTTAGGAGTCCAAGCGCATGGAGGCAATGGAATACAACAAATTAGCAACGTTTCCATGCATCCTGCGACACATGAAACCCTACTGTTTCTGTCATGTTTTATTACTATTATTGGGGATTGATGATTCCACAATATAGGAAGGTATCAAGTGCATTGTGAAGCATGGCACGTAAACAAACAACAACAACAACAAAAAACAGCAATATTCTTTTTGCCATATTGCCCACCCTCTATAGTAGTTAGTATTAATTCATAATTTGTTACATTTGTCTTTTTTTAGAGAAAAGCAATTACCGTAGATCGTAATAAAAATAACTTTAAAATAATAATTATATTATGAAACAGATGTAATTTTGCTTCAAATTATTGGTACAATCAGAATTTCATGCCAGCCTCCTTTGCTATTCCACATAGATCAAGAAGAACAGGCAAAGTGGAGGCGTGCAGCAGTTGTGATTGGTCAACAGGTGCTACGATTTGGAAAGGGGGGCAGGGTTGTACGATTACCAAATATATGGACAGGACGATGAGGCTGCGGAAGTACTTAATACTGTATATACAGCCGTACGTAATATACAGGTATAATTTTTCACAAGCCGTACCATGTGACTGTTCAAAAGAGTAGCTCTACTGACCGGCTCTTTGAAATTAATTGCTCCCTTTAAATAAAATGTGTACCATGTCTAATACCAGATTAAACGTTCCTAAACGTGAAATTTAGTTTAAATAAAATTGCCAATTTTAATAGATCTTTTTTTTTTTTTTTTACAAAAAATTCAGCACAACTTGTACGTCCAGCTCACATCAGCTAAAACTTAAGATCTATGCTACTGTGCAAAAACAAACCTATATCTATGTATATATATATATATATAGCATAATGAAGAAAAACTGAAAACTTTTTGATATTTGTGCAGTAAGACTGCAATCTTCCCCTTGCCTCAAGATATCATCTGTTTTCACAGTTACAGGTTTCTTTCTGCAGAGCAATAAACTCCAGAAACTTTTTTTAATACTCAGTAGCACTGTAACTGGTTGGGATTTCATCAGTGTGAGCTACAATTGCAAAACAATTAAGTTTTTTTTTACATGTCATGTCATGAAACAATATTCTCAAGTGAATTAAAAAAAATTAAAATCTTGAAGCTACATTTTACTTCTTCCTCATTGTTTATGTGATTCATAGCTCCATCTAAGTATTATTTGTTTAGACTAAAAGTCACTAAGTAAATGTAAGATTTTAATTTGGCTTATTATTTCTTTGGGGGGAAAAAAAGCTTTAAAATCAGTCAAGCAATTAAGATTAAAACAAAATATAAAAGTAGAGTAATCACCGGTCTTAACAAAAGAAGGCAGTGTGAAGACAATGACTAATGGGATTATTTAGTGCCTCAGAAGTTACATTTTCATCGCTCTCCTCTCTTCCTTTTCAAGTAGAATTGGTCACACTCGGTTGATGTGACTATTTCCACATTTAGCTCTGTATGATTTTGCCTTTCATTGTTGTCTTGGAAACTAATGAAGAGCTGTCTGCCCACAGGAACCACGGTAGTGCAAGTGGCAGCCACAGACGCAGATGACCCAACATATGGGAACAGCGCCCGGGTGGTCTACAGTGTCATTCACGGACAGCCATACTTCTCAGTAGAGCCAAAGACAGGTATGTTATAACGGTCTGCATTTTAAAGAAAATGACAGGCTGCTTGAAGATGTCTATATTCAGACGAGCTCTTCTCACTGATTTGAAGTGGGCTCAAAAATGAAGAACCAATGTCAATTCCTTGTTAAGTTTATTCCTTCTTCTATCCTCTCACAACCTGACACTTATTTCAAACCATTACAGGAGCGACTGCTTTTGCAATTCATGGTGCAGACAGTGACAACAAAGGAAATGGGAATTTTTAACGTCTACCTGTGGAAATTAAACAAGGTGTTTTTTCTATGAAGCAATAATGTATTGGTAGAAAATGATCAACGCTTTTCAACTGATGAAAAGCGTTACTGATTAAGTCTTTTGGATGAAAGACGACATGTTTCAACAACAATAAACCGTTAACTCTGTTGGATTTTTTTACCTGGATTATTGAGCATGAACTTTGATGTTTTGAACCATTTTGGCCATGGCTGCCTCAGACGAGTCAGCAGGGGAGAGCGCAGATTCAAACCATCTTAGCACCATCAAACTGGTTGACTCACTATGTTAAGGTGCTATTCATAAGGGTGAGTTTGTTGTGGCTCCTCGGACTGATCAAGTATTTTGGATGAAAGATAAAATGGTTCAACAAAAAGAAACCATCCAGAGGACCTGACTTAATTTTGTTAGGCTTTCAGATTAGTTTCTTTTGGAAAAACATTCTAAACATTAATTACAATTTACGCTGCAGATAGCTCTTTTAAATACCTCAATTTGGATAAATAAGGTTTTATCATGACGAACTAATGGGAAGGCTGTGTGCTCCTAAGCTCCAAGAGGATTGTTGTTGTCTTTAAACAACTCTAATCTAAAAAAACAACATTTAGGAAATTCATTTTTACATTACACAGTTATTACAGAAGAAATGTAAATTTCCTTTAGAAAGTGCCTCATGCTGCTGTGAAGGAGTTACAGCTGGTGCCTGATATATAAAGCTTTGAGAATGGAGTGGTTTTAGGACAGTCACAAACCATTTTGGACTTGGTCAAGTTCAAGTAGGTTTATTGTCATTCTCATCACATATGGTATATGAGGTGGAACAAAATAATGTACACAGGTCCCAGTTATACCCAACAATAGCAACAATCCCACTTAGACTAGTCATTAGGTTGCCAAGTCCACTTAATAAATGATATTTCTCCAAATTGAGGTCATTCAAAATACATGTAATAATAATAATAAGGTAATTTTATAATGTTTCTACAGAACCTCACCACAACATATCTGATCTATTGCTTCAAGAAAATGTCAGGTCAGAAAAGACAATAAGGAATAAAGGTTTTGTTTTTATATTTTTCCACTTATAAAATACAATGAATCCAGCAGAACTTGAAGTTGGCTGAGGGTAAAGCTTCTCAGGTTGGATCATTTTATTCAGAGCTACTCAGGGTAATGAGCTGTGCAACAGGACAAAGTGTTTTCGTTCTCCAGCATATGATGCACTTTAGTTAGGTGTTTGCAGATTGCATTTGAACGTGGCATAGCGTGTCTGGCAGCAAAGATCATCAGCTTTGGAGCTGGTCTCTCCTCAGTAGCCACTTTGCTCAAAACCTTGGTCAGTGGGTATTTATGTGCTCTACAATGCTACAGAATGAAGTTAAAGGTTTGTCTTTTTTCTACTTGCACTGTCCTGGCTCCAGAAGAATTTAGCTGGGGTGGATATTTTGTGGGGTTCCAGTAAATAGTAATTTTATTTTATATAAATACATAAATAAACATTTACGTAACTTGCAACTGAAATAACCATATGCTGTTTATTAATACAAAACAAATAACTTAAACAGTGGCATGTAGTCACCAGATAATGTTGAGAACTTGTGCTCAAGTTTGTATAAACAATTTTTGCATAAATCTAAGAAACTAGCACTGCATTAATCGCTGTGTTTGAAACACATAAACACCAGAAACTTGAAGGCAACTGTACACTTCTCCTGAAGAGAGGTGAAAATGTAAAAAAAATATATATATACTGAACATTTTTAACATTTCCACTATTTTGTTGAACAAACCTGACATGCAAAACAAAAAAAAACCATTAAAAAGGAATAAAAAAAAACAACATGGAAAATCCATCATAATTCATTTTATTTTATAGATATACTTTTTAAAATATATTTTTTATACTGCTACAGTACAATTTAAGACAGTATCATACTTTTATTATTTCATTTTATGCTTATGTTTATTAAATGTTTTAATGTTAAATGGTTATTGTTGCCCCGGGTCTGAGAGTAATGTAATTTCAATCCTGTGTATGTCCTGTACATATTGCAGTTTTTGACAATAAAGTGACTTTGACTTTTTTGACCAAAAAATAAAAATAAAAATTGAACTCAATAATCAGACTTTCTGCCTCTGTAATAAAAATGCATTGAACATGTTCATCTTTTCAGACTCTTGAGTAAGGCATCCCTCTTTTTGGAATATTACGTTATCTTACCTTTTCAAAGTATCTTCTACACCTTCTTCTTCTTCTTGTGATAGTGGTTGGAAAAGTGTGTCTTCTTTACTGCTTCTAAAGTTCAGTTTAATCGTCCACAGCACCCTCTGCTGGTTGTATTGAATCAATATATTTCATAGGTTCAACTTGAACCTATGAAATGTATTGAAGGTGAAACGTTTCAGCACACGCATAAAAAGAAACTGTCCAGATGACCTGACTGGAAATTGTTGGATTGTATACCTGGATTATTGAGCATGGACTTTGTTGGTTTTGAACCAGTTTGACATGACTGTTGACAAGGGAGAGGGCCGGCACCGAAGGAGGGGGCGTGCCAAAGACACCATCTTAACACCAACATAACTGGTTTGTTCTACTTTGGAGTAAGCTGTTGTGGGAAGAATCAGTTTTGTGTTGTGTGTTTCCTTGACTGATGAAGCCTTCTGGATGGAAGGTGAAACGTTTCATCAGAAAAAAAAAGAAACTGTCCAGATGACCTGACTGGAAATTGTTGGATTGTATACCTGGATTATTGAGCATGGACGTTGTTGGTTTTGAACTAGTTTGACATGACTGTCGACGAGCCGGCACCGGTGGAGGGGGCATGCCAAAGAGACCATCTTAGCACCAACATAACTGGTTTGTTCTACTTTGGAGTAGCCTGTTGGGGAAAGAATCAGTTTTGTGTTGTGTGTTTCCTTGACTGATGAAGCCTTCTGGATGGAAGGTGAAACATTTCATCAGAAAAAAAAAAGAAACTGTCCAGATGACCTGACTGAAAAATGTTGGATTATTTACACATTGCAAACTGTGGCCTGGTCGGCCTGCCCTCTGGCTCCGGGTCTGTATACTGTAGGCTTTGGCAATGACATGACAAAAACAGTGAAATTTCTTTATATTTAGGCGACATGGTAATACATGATATATATTGCTCAAAGTGCCTTTGAGAGCATGGTTCTATGCCTCATTTGAACCAGTGGTCATATTTAACTAGTGTTTGCTTTTTTAAGTCTGCCAAATAAATCCCTTTTTTTGTTTCTTTTTGTTGCCAGACAACTAATGAAGATAGACAAGTAACCAAAACTATAAAGATTGTCCTTTTATACTTGCTTGTTCTTATTTAGGGTTCATCCTGAACAGGTCACTCCATCGCAAACAAAACAGAAAACTTTTTTTTTTTCCCTATAATTCTCAGTCGGGTCATCTGGACAGTTTATTTTTTATCGAGACATTTCACTCTCTGTCTGGAGGGCTTCATCAGTCAGAGGAGTTCCAGTAAACTTTTTTTCCCACCAAACAGTAAACTCCTTAAGTGGACCAACCAGTTTGCTGGAGCTGGCTGCCTGCCTGGGAGGAGTTGACGAGGGACAGGATGGCCCCGAGAAACCATCTTAGCTGCAGCACACTGGTTGGTCCACTTAAGGAGTTTACTGCTTGGTGGGGAAACAGTTTACTGGAACTCCTCTGACTGATGAAGCCCTCCAGATAGAGGGTGAAACATCTCTATAAAAATTAAACTGTCCAGATGACCCGACAGAGAATTATTGGATTTGATACCTGGATGATTGAGCATGAACTTTATTGTTTTTTTTTCCTCCTTCTACAAACACTTAACACTTACTGATGGGGGCAGATGTAGTACAGTGATAGGGTAGCCGACTTGGGACCAGAAAGTCATGAGTTCAATTCCCTGTCATGCCCAAATGTTGTGGTGTCTTTGAGCAAGACACCTAATCCCTAATTGCTCCCCGGGTGCATCTTATGTGGGATGGGTTAAATACAGAGAACTAATTTCATCATTGTATCAAAAAACATACATTGATGACACTTTCACTGCTTTATGACAATTTGGAGTCACCAGTTGAGTTACCATTACATTTTTTGGCTTTTGAAGTACCTGGAGTAAATCTACAAACACATAGGAAGAACATACAAATGCCACACAGAAATGCTCCAGGTGGGCTTTTTTTACCCTGTGATATGCTTGCTGGAAGACAGCACTGATAACCAGCTGTGCCACCACACAGTCAACACATCTGCCTATGCATTTGATTTATCTAGCTTGGTGTTTTTTTTAGCACTATTGCCTTTTTAACCAACTAACTAACAAACTAACCAACCAACTAAATAAAAGCATCCTACATTACCAAAAATATAGAGAAACCAAGATCTTGTCCACACTCAAATGCAATTTTTCCAAAACAAGTGTTTTTATTTGTTACTACTAAAAACATCTTCATAATCCCAGCACTGTCACAATCTATGTTTTTGGGTGTGACGGTTTTTGTGTTTTCTGTTTCATTGAGCATGCATCAGGATGTTTTCTGTTTCATGTTTTTTTTTAGTTTGTTTCTGTTTCTTCAGTTCATTGTTATGTGTTCCTTTGTGTTCAGTTTGTGTTCCTCCAAGCAATCCATTTTTCCAAACACATTTTCACAATTAGTTTCTGCTCCTTAGTCCTGCCACGCCCGGAACACCTGTTCCTGGTGTCATGTTCACAGCTGCAGCCACTCTTCCAATCATTCTG